GTGTTTCAGCATTGAATACATATGAACTTGATCATAGTCTTATAATTAAATTTCGAAATCTTTGGAAAGAATGGACGTCTCTTGTTCGAAAACAGCGGTAAGAAGAAAAACAAGAACCTTTGTTTTTATTAATTTATTATTTATTTATTTCATAAAGAATTCAGACAAATATTTGGATTTATACTGATCGAGCTAATATATCAACACCATTAACTATTGATTTTGTTTGGCCATCTGTACTTGATCATATGTTTTCATCATATTCTCGTGCGCCACTTATTCTAGATTTCCAAGTTATATTTATCAACATAACTAAAGTAAATTATTCATATAACTTTGAATTGATCATTTTTATTTTCATATAGACACAAAATATCATTATAACAAATCCTTCCTTAAATCTTGTTACATATTCTGTTGAACTTCATAAAGCCGATTCAGATAATTTCAAATCAATTATAAACGATCAAATTTTCACGATTTCAACAGTATGTATTTAAATTAATCTTGAGGGTGTCGGTATAAGATGGTCAAGTTAAGTATGCTCCAAATTTGGAGTTTACGGATATCTAAGTTTTCGCGAAAAACTTTCCCTGAAAACTGTAATCATCTGTTTTTGACTGCTGTAATAGATACTATGGACTGGTGATACTCAATGAAAAAAGCGCATAGTTACAAACTACAATTTGTGGAAAAACCTGACACTCATAAACTCCAAATTTAGAGCTCACTTAACTAGACCGTATAAGATTCATCTTATTAAACACACCCATTCTTTATATAAAGTATTCATTGAAATATGTATCATTTTTCTAGGCATCAAAACGAGTAGATTTAATAAGTGGTACTTATCAATTTCATCTTCGACCAACTGAACAAATAACATTTACTGTATCTTATCGACCGACGCAAATGATTAAACATGAAATGTATTTTATTATCCGGTATGATAGAATTAATTGAAAATAAAATCTAGATTATTTTTATTTAGAAATAATTTAACAATTATTGAATCCATACTTGTACGTGGTGAAGGTGGTATTGGCAGTTTACGTATTGGACATCGTAAAGCTACTTCATCTATGAGTCCAATTATTATATCAATAGATGAAAAACAATATAAACTTTGTTTAAGTAAATATACAAAATTAATTCATTCTTCAAAACTATATTTTTTCTCTACTAGATATTCAATCGAATCCTTTACTTAGAAAACTTATAACGCTTACAAATACAGGAAATATGAAAACAATCATTTATGATATCTCATTTGATCAAATGAAGTGTTCCGGTCATGGTTTTTCAGCTCCATACTGTACAAATATTGAAATAGAATCTAACGAAAAATATAATCTACAAATTTTGTAAGAAATCGAAAAAAACCGCAGCTCTTTTTCTTATAAAATATATTTTTCTTTTTTCGAAAGATTTCAACCTGATTATACATTAGTTGAAGTTAATCGAACATTAACACTAAATACAAATATTGGTCTTATATCATTTCCAATTATTGTTCGTATTCCACAACGTGTTTTATCAACATGTTACAATATAGTTCCACGTCCGCGATGGGAATTTCGAACATATTGTTTATGTTTATGTTCATTAATTTTTCTTACTATTCTAATTTTTTTTACAGCTGGATATGATGCACGAAGAATATATGATGATGTAATTCAATATTATTTGAATTATTTTTTTTTCGACTTTGTTTTTTTGTTTTATTAGTATTTAAATCGATACAAATGGCGTGTACAAATTCAAGCAACAGACAGTAAAATGTTCGATCTTAGTGATTTATCATTAGCCGTTCAAGATGAAGAAAAAATTCGGTAAAATATTTTATAGAACAAACAAAAATGAATAAAATTGATTTTTTTTATTAGCGAACGAATTGAATCACTTTCGTCAACAGATGCAAAAAAAGAAACAACATCAAAGAATGAACTTAAATCTAAACGTTCAACGACGCCAGTTAGTGAAAATAGAGAACCATCATCGAAAGTACGAACTCCAATTGGATCGACATCTTCAACAAAATCAGGATCAAATAAAGCACGACGTGCAACAACAACAGAGAGTGGTTCAACAAAAGTTAGTTTTATGATAATGATAATTAATATAGAAATGAAATCCTTTTTAGTCTATAAAAACTCACCATGAACCGTTAGGAAAAACTCAATCATTACAAAGACAAAAATCAGATCAACATACAACACCTCCAGTTTCATCTAAAACTGTTTCATCATCAACAGTTGTAACTGATGATGAAATTGAACCGTTTGTAGTATGTTCAAAACAAAAATCTTCATCATATCAATTAGAATATATTTTATTGATTACAGGTTCCTCGACAAAGACGTATTTCAAGCAAAGCAAAAGAATCATCTAATATAACTCCAAAGTCAAATACTGATAGTAGTAATACTGTTATTAAACGAAAATCTTCTATTCATTCTGAACAAATTAATGTGTTAAAATCAGATGATTTTATAGATGATCAACAATGGAGTATGGTTAGTTCGAATAAAGGACAACGTAAAGGAACGACTTCCGCTCGACGAGAAACACATGATGAATCTCATATAGCTAATAAAACAAGTAAAGTATCATCAAGTAATTCAGGTAAGTGCATTTTTTTTGTCTATATATATGGCTTTGTTTCATGTTGAATTATTTTATAGACAAGCAAACAATACCATCATTAATGAGCAATATAATTAATCCAATTCCTACTAAATCAATACATTCTCGTCGTCGTGGTGCTCGTAAACAATCGCCTGCACCCGTTTCTAATTTAGTAAAAAGAAAAAGTTTACAGGATGATACACCATTATATAGTCCTAATCGAGAAATAGCATTTCGTCAATTAACAGAACAATTATGGGCAGCTGGTTTACCATCATCAACAAATGCATGTTCGATGTCTATACGTTCCCGTTGTTCATCAGCACCACCATCAGAACGTGATGGTGGTGATGATGATATCGATTGGGATGAACCAGATGCACCGGATGATGGTAACAATAGCTGCTTGAATATCTACTATTTTATTAATATTGCTTGCTTTGCTGGCTAAAATACATCAAAACTTAAAATTACATGTGCGTATAATTATATAGGTATACATTAAGTTTCATTTTCCAGGTAAAACATAAATCATAGTCTATGTATGCGAAGAATGAATTGATTTTTTTTTCGTTCTGTCTTGGCATATATTCAAAAAAAAAAAGAAACGACTGTGTTGATTGGTACACATACATATTCTTCTTATTTTTTTTACGCGTTCTGTTTTTTGTGTCATTACTCAATATCGGAGTATAAAAGGTAAGGTTTTTTTGAGAATAAATCGAGAACATCCAAAAGAACGTGACACAGTTTAATAAATCATTTTAATTTAATTGTCTGCTATTTAATAAATTTTAAACATATAAATTTAATTAAAAATAATAATATTTAATATGCTTGAATTAACACATACTCCACCTTCGAGTGAGTGCAAATTATCGATTGAAAATTTTCATAATTTCTTATCTATTTCAGATTTTGGTCGATATGCTTTACAAAATGCAAATTCTATGAATGATTCAAATGATACTGATGAACGAATACAAACACAACAAAAAACAACACCTATTAATATTCCATCATTGATGTCACTATCAATAACACCACCAACAATGACGACAAATACAACACAACAAAAGTCAACGACACCTACATCTGTCATAAAAGAAAAGTATGAAATTAAATATGAATGTCTAGTAAAATTTGTATGATAAGAAAAATATTTCCAACTATTGAGTTCCTTTTTTTTTTAATTCCAAGTCAAGCTGGAATATAAAAGGAGTCGAAAAAATTTTTTTTTGTCTTTCCTTCACAATTATAATCGACGGGAAAAAAAAAGGAAGTCATACTATTCTTGTAAACAAAATTGTTAATCTTGAAATTACGATCAATTTAGACTTGTTTCTTGTTCTATAGAAATTAAATATATAATTATTTTTTGTAGTATTGAACCATTACCATTTCCATCTCGTCATTCACCTGGTCCAATTCAACGACCCAATAAACTGTCATGTCAACCTGTTACACAAGCTTCAATGTTTTTTAGTGATACTATTGAATCGCCGGATACACCGGACGTACTTGTTCAAATCAATCATCTTCTTGATCATCAAAATAGTATTACAACAGTACCATCAACAACTAATGTTTCCAATTCAACAACTTCACCATTAATTAATGACATTCCAACACCAAATGTTCCTTGGACACCATTTTCACCAACAGAATGGCCATCGAAATATGATTCAACATGGCCAATGGCTAATATGCCAAGTCCAAATATTCCTTTAACAACACAAATACAGAATCCATTTGCACCACAACAACAAAGTTCAAAAGAAGATTCAGCTGTTTGGCCAACTGCATTAGGAACAGCAACACCACGTTCAACACCATTAAGTACACGTACGCAACCTGGTTCAGAATGGACTGAAATGTTTTCATCTGCAAGTGCTTCATCAATTGAACCAACCAAACCAATAAATAATACTTGGACAAAATTTTTACCTGTATCGGAATCATCATCAATCGATAATCAAACAACAAATAAACCAGAAAATGAAGTTAATAATCAAGTTAGTTTATTTATTTTCCTAAAAAAAAACGAATTCGTTAATAAAATGAATTTATTTTAGTTTTGGGATTCGATCACACAACCAAATTCGTCGGCTTCATGGTGGCCAAAACCGTCCACCGATGAAAATAATGATGATAAAGATCATTCGCGTTGGGATTTTGCACGTTAAAACTGTGTTTATATTAATCATTAAAAAAAAAGGCTGCTAATCAAGATTCTAACCTATGTTTTTTTTTAACTCTTTTTTTTATTCATTAAGAATTTTAATAATGCGTAAAATTCATAAAAAAATATATGATTATTGCGAAAATAAAGACAATTAAAAAAAATATTGTTTCGTTTTTCTAGAAAAAAAATGCCATCAGCACATATTGAACGTTATATACGTTCTATATTTGTACAAAATATACCAGCCGGTATAACAGAAGATCTTTTTCGACAAATGTTAAGTCAATTTGGAGTTCTAATTCATTTTCATATGTTTCTTGATCCCAGTGGAACTAATAATACAAATGAACAAAATTTACAAACATCAAGAGGTTATGCATTTGCAGAAGTAAGTAAAAATATGATAAATTAAAAAAAGAAGACGACAGGAGAAAGTGCAAGTATAGTTTTTTGAAAATAGGAGATGTACTGAGTGTCCAGGAAGTCATTTAATAGAAAAGAAAGAATTTGAGTATCTCTCCTACGACTCGAGCTGATGTTGTTTTTATCAATGCTAGAGAAATATTCAGTTTTGTATTGAGCGATTTTGAACAAATAGTAAATGTCAAGTAATTACACGATTAGTATTGAGACTGTCTGATCACTGATATAGTTAAGTAAAGAAAAGAATCTAAGACTAAAGTCTCTGAACGCGACAGACTCTACTGCTGATTTATATTAAGAGACAATAACAACTATTTTCAAATAAAAACGGATATTAGTCTTTTTAAGTACTGACATTGCCGTCGTCTTGATCGCATTTCTATAGGGAAAGATGTGAATTATAATAAACTTGAGTACTGAAAGAATTTATGTCTAAAGATAAATTATTGATATTTTTCTTTTTAGTTTGCATCGAATGAAATTGCACAAACAGTTATCAATAAATTGAATGGTCTTGATCTAGGTGGTTTTCGACTTGTTGTTGATTTACTTTCTAATCAAGCTGAACCAATTATAAATTTATTCGAACAATTATGTGCTACAACGACAACTACTGTGACATCATCAAATAAGAATGATCCTCGTCTTGCTAATGCAACAACATCACAAACATCGCAATCCCAAGCAGCAACAACAGCATTAGCAGCGATGGAATCAGTAAATTCAAATGTGACTAGTACCGGTAATAAAGAAGAACGTGAATCGATTTCAAATGCTGTTGCATCATTACCACCAGCTCAAGTTAGTTATTAAAATAATTTTTAATTATAATTCTTTTTTTCTGTGTTCTGTTTAAAATAGATGTTTGAATTAATGAAACAGATGAAACAATGTATTGAAGCAAATCCAAACGAAGCTAAAACACTTCTATCAACAAATCCTCAATTAGCTTATGCTCTGTTACAGGCACAAGTTGTAATGAGAATAGTTGATCCTCAAGTAGCTATGGCATTATTAAATCGTACTGATAAAGATGTTATACCAGCTCCTGCTGATGTTAAAAAACAAACATCAACTACTACACAATCAACAGCAGCAGTTACTGCTCCACTTCCTCTTCCAGTTACAGGCAATCCAAATGCTCCATTCCCTTTTTCAGTTATTCCAGGTGCACCATTTTCAATGCCTATGATGGCTCCTAATGCTGCTAGTGCACAACAAGCTGCAGCTGCTGCTCTTTTTCAAGCAGCTCTTCTTTCAGGTGCTGGAATGTTTCCTGGTACATTAATACCACCACCTATGTCTCATGCTACACCATTTCCACCTGTTCAACCATCATTTCCACCTCAATTAAATCCTTTAGCACCACCAATACGCACACCAAATCTTGATGAGAATGCTGCATTACTTCTATTACAATTAGATGATGCTCAATTAGCTCAATTACCACCAGCACAAAGTATGCAAATTCGATCATTACGTGAACAAATTGCTAAAACTGGTTTATTACCTAAAATGTAGTGAATGATTTTCCTTATTTTTTGTGTATTATGATATAAATAAAGAAAAAAATGTAGTCAACACAAACTTAAATACTTCATAAATTCAATTTCATCTTTTTTTATGATTAGACGAATGTTGACATGATCGATATAGTACACTCTATTTTTATATTTCATTTGTAAGCAATGTGTACCAGTTGTCATTCAACTTGAAAATACATTTGATTACTCCGTGTTAATAATAATAGTAATGAATATGTAGTCATGTTTCTACTTCCATTGAGTTATTATATTTCTTAATTGTATTTTTTATACGTGATTTAACAGTATCATCTATACCTGCAATATACAAAAAAAACAATTAATTTGTTATTCCAATCTAGAAGTTTGGCAAAAACCTGGATTTTAAAATAATAATAGTAAACATAGCTAGATGTATGTGTAAGCTGAATTCAATTGAGTATATTAATGTTAAACTATTGCATAAAGTTTTATATTTTAAAAAGCTTGTTATCATGCATTATTTATGAGTATATAGTGACAAATTAGAATAACTACGTTTTATTATATACTAGAATGAAGAGGTTATTGTTTTAAAGGCAAACTATTAATGATGATCCTATATTGGCGGTGTGTATATGATACTTCATCTTTACAACAATGTTCTTAGGTACAAAAGATTAAACCTCTAGAAGCAAGAAATTTTATCATTAAGCGATGTACAATAATTCTTTGTCTTATCATAGAACGAAGGAAGTGGAAAAATATATTTATAACATTATATGATAAACTAACAATAAGTTTTACAACAAAGTTAATATTTATATTTGATTATGCCTACCGGATTTATTACTTAATAGTAAACCTGTCATATATATTATTTTAAGATATCTATGACTGTTTCTGATGTGGACTCACTATTTCAATGTCAAAAAAACGTTTTTTTTTGTATTCTTAATACCTTATCAACTATCGTCTTTAATTTATATAAACTACAGGAATTTGATTGAATACATTTTATGAAATAGAAACTTTCTACTTGAAATGTAATCTTAGTTAATTTTTATCATGCAATAAGATATTCTATTGTTAATAGATTCAGTCAACATTCATTTATTTAATTTAGTAAAATTATTGTCAATGATATGATTCTGTTGTTTTTTTTATTATAAATGATTATGACATTATAGCAAACAAATTTTAGTTAGATCTCTTTCTTTTTTTTTTGGTTTCTTTTTCATTTATTACACGCCTTGTTCTTTGATAATATTTATCATGACTTGTCTACTCTCTCTCTCGTCTTTCTTAGTTCAGTCTAAATTGTGAGTTTTCTGTTTTCCTGTTCTCATTTTTCTCTTTAATAGTGATGAGTGAAGAATGATAAAGAAGAAGAAGATGAAGAAAAAACGCCTATAGGTATAGTTGCCTTTGTTTTTCTCTCTTTCTCTCATTTCCTATATCTAATTCATAAATAACTTTGAGATATGGTACACTTAAGTCAATTTCTTTTTTTCCCTCTCTCTCTCTCTCTCACTCGTCACTTACTCTACACATTCTTCCTCTCTTTTTTTTCTGATGTTTAATGCTTGTGTGAACTTCTCTTTTATGTTTCATATTCCAAATGAGTAAAATGTAATTGTTTTTTTTGTTTGATTAATATTCAAAAGAAAACAACCTATATTTATTTATTTCTTTGCTTGAGTAAATTTTTTCATTTTTTTAACAATATATTTCCTCTATTAATTTTTAGATTTAGTTATATAGAAAATTAATTTTTTTTTATTATCGATTTTATCTTATAAAACATACAATGTAAGTAATTATGAGAGAGAAAAGAAGAATTTCTTTAACATACATCTGTATTATAGATATATATATATATATTTTATATTGAACTGAGTAGCAAAATAAAAATTTGCAACGTTTATCTTTGGTTATTATTGCCAATCAACATGTGTTATTATCCTTTTTTCTGTAAGATTGACATGAATGATTTTTATATATTTTGTGTTCGTTTATATACTGTAAGGAATAAGTAAATAGACATTTGAAATTCTTTAGGGAAATTAACTTTCATTTTTGGTCAGTACATCATAGAAATGTTTTTTTTTGTTCCCATTCATTCTTAGAAACTAACGATAATCTACTGATTGAGATATGATAATTTGAGAATAACAATGTTAACGATTTACTTCCTTGTTTTGACTCTAATAAAAGATATAATTATTATTCTAGGTTAATTTATTTGTTGATTATTTTCTTTTTTATACATCTGTCATAGAGGTGGATTATGAATGACAACTGATTTTAAGCTTTCGAGGGTTATCTTTGACTATAATTAGTGTTGCTAAGGATGATGATGTTGTAGATTCTATGCTTGAGATATCATGCTAATAATTTTTATATATTTTTAGCAGGAACAGACTTACCAGATGACGATTACAGAACATTAATGCCACAACCAAAAGATCCGAGAATTAATAATCGAAAATCATCACAAATACCAATTATTATTGAAAATAAAGAAAACGATTCAATGTCAACAAATAGTAACTATTTAAAAAGAAATTGAATGTAATCTTATATCAATTTGTAGATAAAGTATCAACTAAAAAAATTAATACTAATCAACAAAAAACAATTATAACTGGTGTTTCAAGACGAAGTTCAACAATTGAACATGATACTAATGAACAAACACGATCAGCTCCACCATCACCTGCTCTATATCATCATGGTAAACAACGATCTAGTCATACTCCAACATCTACGGATACACCTGATAATGTATGTTAAATATTACTCTCGTTTTCTAATAATAATAAGATCTCATTAAACTATTTCAATAGTCTTTAAAGTTAAGTATCTATCATCTTTAATTAATAGAAATAAGAGGTCAGTTATAGAGCGTGAAGTGGAACGTCAGTTTAGATATTTACATTATTAAATATTCTACTAATTAATAATTGAATTTCTCGAACTATAATAAATAAAAAAGCTGTCAAAGGAACCTCTATAGAATTAAAAAATATGAAATGAGATAATTATTATTATTAAGTAAAAAATAGACTTAATAGATTATTTTCAAGGAAAACTATATAGAATTGATGTTGCATTTGATTCATTAAATTTTTATTATTTTCATACTTTACGAAAAAACAATAGTTTATCCTTATATTACATACGTAATTATATTTGTCAGATGTTTTATAAAGAAAATTTTCCTACTACTATTATTCTTCAAAGTAAAATCATATGTGAAAAAAGTCAGACATGAGCTTTTAAAATGGCTTTCTATTTTAGTACTTTTAAATAAATATTCTCATAGACGTTTTTTCCAAAGAATATATAATCGATTTTTTTCATGTTTATATATCATAAAAGTCATGTTAGATACTGAATATTACCTTCTAATCAGAGGCGTAGTTAGAGGGGTGCACAGGTACCGATGCATTCTCCTTGGCCAAAAAATATCTGAGTAGGAGTATCGGTAAAGAATCTTATCACAAGATAAATACCTATTTTTCCGCCGGTGTGCATCCGCTATGCAAAATTCCCGGCTACGCCCCTGCTTCTGATGGCATGAAATACGATTAGATACAATAATTTATAATCGATGAAAATGAAATAGTATATTTCTATGAATTTTATTTTTCTAGAATGCTAAATCTGCTTTGAATGATTCTTTATTATTAACAAATGGTTCGATTGATAGTTTATCATGGGGTACACTTGAAGTACGATTAAAATATGATGCTAAAAATAGTAGAATGTGGGTGTTTGTCATAAAAGCAACATTAGAAATGACTCAAGATACCTTAAAACAAACGCTTGTTCAGGTACATTTAACACTTTTACCCAATAAACGTACTCGTCTTCGTACACGTATTAAACCAATTAATAATGCTATGTTTGCAGAAGAATTTTTTTGCAAAGTATCACCTGGTTTGTTTTCTTTGATTTCTATAAAAAGTCATCTTTATTTTTTTTTCTTACATATTAGAAACAATTCAAACACAAGGTATTCGTTTTCGTTTATATACATATGAACGTTTTAGACGTGAAAAACTTCTTGCCGAAGCAACAGTTATGTTTGCTATGGTTAATCTCGATGAAGATATGTGTAAAATTATTCCATTAAAACGAGCTTATGTTAGTATAATCATATATATATATATATTATATTACGAATAAGAATATTTATATTTTAGCCATCACAAGATTCTGATATAGGTAGTCGTAGTAACGCAAGTGGTACTTGTCCATCACCGAACAGTTCAGTTTTTCGTACATGTGGCGAAGGAAGTGTAAATTCTCTTTTACCAGAACTTGAAATTGGTTTAGCTTATGATAGAACTCATTCAATGCTTATACTTGAAATAGGAAAAGGAATTAATTTTGGTCTATCAACATTAACTCATCCTCCTGGTAGAATATTATTTTATTTCTTATAATTATTCTATTTCTTTTTTTTTCCAAGATACATGTGTTCAAATAATACTTCGTAATTCAACTGGTGAAGAAATTACAACAAATCAAACAGTTACACGACATGCACAATATCATCCAATATATGCTGAACGTTATCCATTTAATATTCAAGGAAATTTTCTTGAACAAATTACATTTGTTATTTCTGTTATTAATAAAAAATGTCTAAGTATAGCTGACCATGATTTCGGATATATTTCATTTGGTAAGAATTTATCGTTATGAATTATTTAAATCATATTCTTTTAAAATTTAGGTCATGAAGCTTCTAGTCCTACCCAAATTTCACATTGGGAAGCAATGCTTAGTGCACATGGTGAAACAATAACAAGATGGCATACTTTATTAGAAAAATGAATATGCTTGTTGTGATAATTTATTGTTTGTCTTTTTGTCAATATTGAATTTTTCTCTTTTTTGCGTTTTCTTTTTCTTCTTCATTAATTAGTCTAATAATTTATTTAAATATGATGTTGTTTTATTGAACTATCATTTTCATCAATAATATCAGATAATGATTGAATAATATGAATGAATAGATGACGAACTGATTTAGCTTCAATATGAGATTTTTCACTAAAAAATTATTGAACAACCTACTATGTAATATCGTTTGAAAGTAATCGTATAATATTAAGAACATTATTTAGAAGTAGTATTGTATTTTAATTGAGGAATAGGAATTATAAATATTTTATAATGACACAATAGAAAATATAATTTATGTTCATTCTTTTTAATTCAAAAGATAGTATAGAAGACACAAAGAACATGTTTTTAAATAATTAATTATTCCTCCTGCATTCATTATTAAATGATTATTGTGCATCCTTCTGCAAGAACTAACAATAGTTAGAGGATTGTATGGTACATCTCGTGAGAGAAATATCATGATTGTGAGTTCAGATGATATCTCCAATATAGTAAAGAATGTCCCCAAAGTCAAAATCACTTAAGAAATTCATCTAGTGCTCTTATGAACAAAAGGTTATCATGCCTTTTTGTAGCGATGAATAGCAAGTCTTTCTGTTAGATCAAATGAACACAGAACCCATGTGTTGTTAAAGACATTGTTAAGCCAAGTACGGATTGTCTATAATATAGATGATTTGAAAGATGAAATAATTCGAGAAATCGAATCAAAAACCATTTAATTACTACCCAAGCAGATAAGAATTTGGGGAAACGCATTTAAACACTCAATCGGGAACCGCGATTGTATCTCATTCAAGTTCGAAAAAAAACGCCGTTTTATCATTTTTTTCATATAATTTCTAATGTTTGAACGTGAAAGCGACAAAAAAAATCCAGTTTTTGAGCGTTAAAACGTGCCTTTACTTCTGTAGTTTTCTGCAATATGAAAGCAGTGCATATTAACGCTCAAAAAGCTGGCTTTTTTGTCGATTTCACGTTTAAAAATTATATGAAAAAAACCGATAAAACGGCGTTTTTTTTTCGAGCTTGAATAAGATACAATCGCGGTTCCCAATTGAGCGTTTAAGCGCGTTTCTCCAAATTCTTGTCCACTTGGGTAGGGCAGACGAATGAATTTCTTAAGTGATCATAGTACACTATTTCTGTTAATCTTATTGAAATTTTCTATTTATTTATTTTACCAGAGTTTTGTCTTCTAGTATTATTGTATGTATTACCTGCATGCAATTAATTTTTCTAACCAATTAACAGAAAATATAAAATCTTTTGGTCTAATGATTTCATTATGAATTAATTTTAGTTTTGCTTTAATTTGTTCTATTGTATTTTCTGTTGTATTTATTTTATTAGTTGTATCTGAAAAACGTGTATTTAATACTTGGATTGTACCTAAGCAAAATTAATATTTAAAAAAGATTTCCATTTAATAGATATAAATATCTACGTCTATTTAATTCTTCACGTTTTTGTTGATTACGTAAAATTTTTTTTTCACGTTTTTCTTTCATATAATCATCATTTACAGACGATACACTTTCAATCATTATTCCAACAAGAACATTAGTAACAATACGATTACCAATAAAAACTATAATTACTAAAAACCATCGTGATATTGTTGGACTACCATGTTTTTCAAGTTCAGGTCTAATTAAATTCCAATTATCAACAAATATTAATCTCATAGCGATAATCAACGATGTTGAAAAATCATGCCACGGGCTAAAAAAGAAAAAGTATTATTTAATGAAAACTAGAATTCTTTCATTGAGGGTGGGGGTGTAGCAAGGGGGGAAAAAGCGAGACTTCATCTACTCTAAAACGTTTTTGAAGTACGATGGAAGTACAGGGGAGTACAGAGAAGTACGATAGGAGTACAAGGAAGTACGATGAGAGTACATATGAACTACAGTGGGAGTACAATGACCCATTGTACTTCCTTTTGACAATGGGATTATAATGGAAGTACGGAAGTATCGCTTTTTCTCCCTTGGGGTGTGGGTTTGCTTAATGAGATGAACCTTATACTCATACCCACACCCTTCTTGCCTAATCTAACCGCATACGAGAAAAGATAGCATCACTTGTATTTCACCTATCTTCTGCTTTTCCATAAAGCATTTGTCCAATAACAGCAATAATATAAATTAACAGAAAAACAAGCATACTAACACTGAATGTATATATCAATACTGTTTTAATTAAAGCCTTTGTTAATACTTGTAATCCTTCGGATAATTTTATAATTCTATATAAACGTATTAATTGTAATAATCGAAAACCTTTTAATAGATTTGTTATTGTTGAATTGATTTGTTGAAAAAATAAATTCCAAAGAATTTCAATAACACCAAAAAGAATAATTGTAAAATCATAAAGATTCGTCCAATTAAACCAATAATGATTAGATTCTATATATAGTTTAATAATAAACTCAAATAATAATATTGCAATTAATATTTCGTCAAAAATATAAATAAATTTTTGACGATATTCATTTCTAAGATATTCTTCATCTGTTTCTAAACTTAATCCAAGTGTTAGCGAACATGATATAACAACAAAAGCCATGAAATAATCATAAATTGGATGATGAAGAATCTCACGAAAATAATCTTTACTAGTTTTTTCATTATGTATCATATTATAACGCATATGTTGATCATTATCGAAAGATATAGAAATATTATCATGATCATCAATATCATTAATATTATCATCGAAATCTAGATAATCATCGAGAAGTAATTCTTGTAAACTACGATGCATTCTCTCTAATTCTCAATTAATTATATAATTATCTGCGCCAAGAGAATCTATTTTATCGATTGATGTACTACAATACAGTACGATAATTTAATAAAAGTTCTATATTGATATATATGTCATTGTAGTTAGTCGTGAATCTAGGATGTTTATGATGGAGGCACTATTTTTAGGGAATGGACGCGATTTCGATCAAAAACCACGCTGTCGTCCCTGTTCGACAGATCACCTACTGATTTTCAGGCCATTTTTACTGGAAAAAATAATTTGAGTCAGCTACATGTATCTCTCTTTCTAATATGAACATGAAATTCATCTTTAGTATGATTCAAGTCATTGAAATGAAAAACTTACGAAAAATTGAGATCAGTTGATTGTTTAATAATTGAAACGCTACAAGTGCACATAATTGGTCGTCTTCTGAAAATCTAGACATACAAATAGGTCCGAATCCATAGATCTCATCAGAAACTTGTCGCATCTTCAAAAAGGATATCTATAGATTTTTCTAGTAACTCCCACTAATTTCCTCAAGAAAATAGAAAATTGAATCAGTAAGAATTCATTCAAATACTATCTTCAAAATTCGATCATTTCTCAATTTTACCTACAGGAAATAATGCAATGGATCATTCTCCTAGTCATTTCATAGCAATCTAATAGTTTTTCTAGTATCAAGTAGAGATCTAAAGTATTCAAATACGATAACTACGTAGTAAAAAACAATAAAAGACATACCGATCGATTCAATCAAAACCAGTTTAAAGATTTCTTATTCTACGAATGCGTCAAAGCTATCATTTACTTAAATAAACAATAAATTTTCCATAATCTATTCACACAAAGTGGAAAAATATATGTTATAGGTTAAGTGAAATCACGGATGTATCTCTAAAATCAAATTCGATATATCGTTAAAAAATAATCTGACTCATTTCTATGAATATTATAAGCATTTGATATTTTCATAATTCTTTCATTGATTATCGATTATCCTAATACACTATAAACATAATATGTAATAATATAACAAACTTTTGCAATATCAGCTAAATTTTCCAATTTTCAAATGATTATAAGGTACCTATAAATTTCATATATGGTATTCTCTAGAATAAATATTTTTTCTAACGTAAAACAATATTCTATAGTTAATTATATAAAAACGAGTCGTATTTCTAACAATGAATTTTTATTTTGTTATTTAAATAATAACAACAAACTGTATGATAAACAAATATAATACAATCAGTATTTATTTCGTATATATCTATAATTTTATTTCATAATAATCCCAATAGGCCAATCAACGTTTATATCAGTTTATTATTACCTTCAATAACAAAAAAATCAGAGCTTCATACCTGACTGCATTTAGTTAAGGTAGAAAACACTAAGAACATACAAACGTGAAAAATCAGCGATTGGGATTAGGCACAAACAACAAATGGACAAATATGAAAAGAAAAAATAACTGTCAGTACATAAATACGTATAATATTGATCAGTATACTTGTATCAAATGGATCTTGTTTCACATATGATTCGGTGAGTAAGAAAATATATTTAATCCTGACACGATCATCTGTAATCTACTTGAAATTTAAACATTTTTTAAAATGATTATTTATCAACAGCATTTTGCTTTGAACGTTTTATTTTATAATATAACGGAAGATCTATGTGTACATTAATAATATGAGTTAATTTCATTCCTTCACTATTGATTATGTAGGAAAAATACATTTTCGTGAACAAAAAAAAATAAATAACCTGCGTAACCAAACAATTAACTAAATTTTAAATCTCATTTTATTTTTATTTAGCTTTACAATCATATTTTCTCTTACGTTGCTCTATTCAACGAATCATCATTTAGTAAGATCACATCGAATCATTAGTAAACCACAAATCATTGAACTTCAATTATCTCCCAATAGTAATTTACTTGTTGGATCAGTACTTGATGCTTCAAATCGATTGATTGTACAAAATCAGGTCAGTATCCTTCTTAAACTAAGTTAAATAAATGTCAT